CCTCCCTCCCTCCCTCCCTTCCTCCCTTCCTTCCTTCCTTCCTTCCTTCCTTCCTTCCTTCCTTCCTTCCTTCCTTCCTTCTTGTGCCAGTACTGGGCCTTGAACTCAGAGCCTGGGTGCTGCTCCTTAGCATTTTTGCTCAAGGTTAGTGCTTTACCACTTGGGCTACAGATCCACTTCTGGCCTTTTGTTGGTTAACTGAAGGTAAGTCACAAACTTTCTTGATCAGGCTGGCTTGGCATTGCAACCCTCAGATCTCAGCTTCCTGAGTAACTAAGATTACAGGTGTGAGCCACTGGTGCCCAGCTTAAGGTAGCCTTTCTAAATCTCATGAAAGTACCATAGAAGCCAGCAGTGGTCTTTGAGTGGCTGGAGTGTCCCCAACCCCACCTTCTCCCCAGAGCATTCAGTCCCAAACACAGGGGAGGGTAACCTGGTGTATGTGCTCAATGTGTGCTTGCACCTAAGTGTGCACGTGGGTGCTGCACACCTGCTTATCTGTGAACAGGGCTGTGGAGGGCTCATACTTGAGCAAGGGAATGTCATTTGTATGCAAATGCTTACACACGTACGGAATGTAAAAGCATGTTACATGCGTTTATGTATACCCACAGAGCCTGCCTCCTGCCTGCACACTGCTATCCCTTCTCCTAGGGAGTCACAGAAGAAAGGAAGAGAGCCTCAAAACTCATGTTCCATCAAGGTAGCCCAATGTTAACTATGAGCAACCCTGCTCTGCAATCCTCAGGAGTTTTGCTTTTGGCTTCAGCCAACCTTGTTCTTGCATCGTTACCTCCCTGTCTGAGTCTCACTGCAAATCTTATTGGCCATGTCCTGATGTCAAATACAGGGTCCAGAGGTATCCCAGGGGCTTGGCAGTGACTCTTCTCCCCAGCCAGTGAGCCCTCCTGACGATCACTCACCTGACCTCCTCCAGCTGTGGACACAGGGGCAAAGCCTGCACCAAGTAGCTGATGCCTCGGGCCGTGACCTTACTTCCCACTAACCTACAAGGCAAGCAAAGGTGATGAAGAGGAACAGAGTCATGGGAGCAAGTAGGACATACTAGGCATCCTCAGATGAAGCTCTTTTGGTTGCAATCCCTGGCTTACCTTAGCTTCTGTAGGCTCTTCATGGTAGGCAAGCTCCTTGACAGGGCTTCAGCAAATGCGTCACCACACTTTCTGCTCTTAAAGCTGCACAGGGAGAAGCAAAGTGTCAGATGATCAGAGCTGGGTGGGGCTTGGAGATCATCAGCATCTTCCCCTTTCCCTGCTCAAAACACACTATATGGAGCAGAGCTAGCTCCCACCACTCCAGGCCACACAAATGAAGTTCAATGTTGTAGCAGTAGTTGTTGAAGTAGTAATAAGATTACAGCACTAACTGCTTCAGCCATTAAACAATTCTCCCCTTCATACAGGGAAAAAGAGCTATAGCTGGGAACATGGTTTTCCAACCAGAAGACATATTTCCCAGCCTCCTTGGCAGCCTGGAGTGGCTGTTTCCTCACCAGTGCTGTATGACTGGGAGGGACGGATCCTAATTCCAAGGCTGACCTTTAACACACTGAGTTTGTCTTCACACTTACCTTTTCCCTTCTCCCTAAGCCAGAGCAGAGAAATGGCCAGAACCCAGCTTTGACTATGCTAAGGGGCTGGATCTCTGCATGATGGCGTGGAGCAAAGACATCCTGCTAGCCTGGATTGTTCACCTCTGACTCTTCCATGAGGGAGAAACACAACTCTAAGGATTCCATTCCCCATATTTGGGAAATGCGCCTTTGTAATAACAGCCTTACTTTTTCTCTTGCCAATGCAGACATGCAGCCCTGGCTGTGGACCAGGTGTGCTGAGACCTGTCTACCATGCCTGCTTCCATCTCCTTCTCATAAGGACCCCATGAGTGAGGTGTTAAATATGAAATCATTTTAGAAAGAAGCCTAGAGTGGTCATATCACCTGCCCCAACATCAGCTTCAAGCAGCACAGCGCATGATGAATAGAGTCCAGAAGCCACAGGTAGCAGGAAGATGTTGCAGGATTCTAGAGGACCTGTCGAGTATCACAAGCCAGTGGGTGGGTGGGGCTGTTCTGTTCTGATACTCAAAATTTGAATCCAGACTCCTTCACAGGATCATCAGGCTGGCTGGCCTCTGCTCTCCCCAAGCCCCATGTCCCTCCTACATCTTCCCTCATCCTCCTCTGACCTTACTCACCTGAGAGACTCTATCCCTCCACAGCCTATCAGAGCCTCAGGGCAGCGGGGCTCCAGGAGGCAGCCCTCAAACTCCAGGTGCAGAGGGTCAGCTCTGTGTCCCAGGATGCCAGTCAGGGCAGTCAGGTCTGCAAAGTTCAGTGGGAAATTGTGGAAGGGCAGATGGTAAGGGAAGCCTTGAGCAGCGAGAGTGGCCAGTTCAGCCTCCTGGGTCTCAGCTACACAGTGACACAGCTCCACCAACTTTGGCCCTGTGAGCTTCTGGGTGGCCAACTTTCTCAGAACCTGCACAACAGCAGCCTGCCTGCAGCACACCCAGGCTTCATTCCTCTTGGCCAGGTGGCTGAGGAATGGACCGCAGGTGTGAGCAGCCAGGCCTGCCAGGAAGGTGGGGAGTTTATCGGAGAGGCCCACTCTACCTTTGGTCCGAAGCACCCAGTGGGAATTAAGGGTGACATGGCCAGTGAGTGTATCTCTGTCCACCAGAGGGCTGGCCATCAGGTACAGGGCAGCAAAAAACTCCTGCAGGCTGAGATGGGCAAATGCATAGCCTGTCTCCCAGTGCCCAGGGCTTGTGCAGGTGCAGAAAGAGGTCAGCAAGCTGTGGGTAGCTCCAAAAGCCAGCAAGGCTGGTGGAATGTCCCCTGAGTAGAAGATAACCTTTCCAGAGTCCAGGCCTCCCAGGGCCACCTCTCCAAGGCCCAGCAGGGAGCCGGCAGGGAGATCCTCACAGGGGCTGAGGGAAAGCAGCATCTGCATGTAGAGCTGAGTCACTGTGGGCAGGAGGGCTGCAGACTGGTCCGTGGGGGTTCTGGGGAGCAGATGATGGAGGCAGAGGCAGGTGATTCGGCACAGCGTGGGTACTGCACACATGCTCCGAAGACGCCCATTTGCACGCAGCTCTTCCAGGACCATCTCTTTAGAAGGCTGCCCACTGAAGAAGTGGCTCATGTACTCCTCCACCCGCTGCCCATCGAAGCCCCACATATGGACCATAGCTACCTCTCTGGGCAGGCAAGTGGGCAGTTTCCCTGGACGGGAGGTAGTGATCACCCAGCAGCCAGGTAGGAGGGTTCCACGGCAGAGATTGGAGAAGAGGGTGTGGACTGAGGCTGCGCCATCAGGACTTAGAGTCTCCTTGTCAGAGCAGGGGTGGAGGGCCTCATCCAGCCCGTCAAAGATCAGCAGGACTCTGTTGGCCTTCTCCTGTAGGTACTGGAAGACAGCGTCGGAGCCTGATTCGGGGCTCAGGTACAGATCAAAGAGGAGCTGGCGCAGCGTCAGGAAGCCTTTGATCAGGTTGAGCTGGCGGAATTCAAAAAGGAATAGGGCCTGGAAGTGGCCCAGCTGGCCATCAGCCCATTTCTGGCGGAGCCTCCGGACTAGTGTGGTCTTGCCCAGGCCGGCCTTTCCCAAGAGCACGGTCACTCGTGGGCCCTTGTGGGTCCTGAAGTTGAAGAGATCCTGGAAGTCCACATCGCCGCCATCTTCTGTCTTGAAGTCTCTCTTGATGGTCCTCTCCTGGGTGTCCAAGGGTGCTGTGGCCCGGCTCCACTGCAGGATGGTGGGTATGTAGTACTGGTGGGTGGTGAGGGTCTCCTCTGGCCCCCAGCATTTGCTGTCATGGTGTTGGTGGACAAATGCCTTTAGGAGCTCCAAGTACTTGTGGGCCAACTCTGCTGGGGACAGACAGAAGGTGTGAAAACAGGAGCCCAGGCCCTCTGCCCATGCCATGACCCCAATATCAGGTGTCTCTAGCCTTAATAATAGGTGTAAGGGCACAATAGGATTTGTTGTTGTTCCTTGTGCCAGACTTGAACTTAAGGCCTTGAACTCTTCCTTGACCTTTTTTCTTTTTGGTTTGGCATGGGGCTTGAACTTGGCGCCTGGGTGCTGTCTCTAAGCTATTTTACTCAAGTCTAGTGCTCTACCACCTTGAGCCCCAGGCTCCACTTCTGGTTTTCTGGTAGTTAATGAGAGATGAGAGTTACAGACTTTCTTGCCTGGGCTGGCTTCAAAAAGCATGAGCCTCTTGGATTTGAACCTTGATCCTAAAATCAAATTTCAACCTCCTGAGTAGCTAGGATTATAGGTGTGAGCCTCTGGTGCCCCACTCACAATAAAAATTTTGATGCTACTCAAAGTCTTAGCAATAGTGGCGGCTCAGGCAGCCGCTGGATTGGTGAGAATGGGGCCCATGGTCATGGCTGCCTTGGTTTCTGTTAACCATGCGAGTGTATAAAATGTTCAAGAGCTGGAGGGTTTGCTTGGCAAGATCTTATTAGAACAATCCCTTCCAGCAGGACTCCTGTGCTCCAGGTCTCTCTCGGGTGTTTCAGTTCTGTGATATCCAGGAGTGAGCATTAACAACCCATGGGCCTTGAACTGGCCTATTAGACCATGTGTCTGGCTTCCACATGGCCAGGTGTTAACCTGCTCATTCTTGAGTCATTGGAAGGTCTGAGATGGCCGGGGAAGGACTGGGGAGTAGACAAACGAATGCAAAACATTGTCTGTTTTGCTGGGCACCAGTGGTTCAGGTGTAAACGTGACTATGCAGGAGGCTGAAATCCAAGGATCATGGTTCCAAGCCAGCCCAGGCAGGAAAGTCTAGGAGCCTCTTATCTTCAATTAACCAGCAAAAAGCCAGAAGTATGGCTGTGGCTCAAGTAAAAGAGCTGATCCTTGAGTGAAAAAGCCAAGGGACAACACCCAGGCTCTGAGTTCAAGTCCTAGTACTGGCACACAAACAAATTACCTATTTTCCAATAGATGTGACTTCTTCACCACGACTAGACCCACAGTGTATGTGTGGGTAGGATGAGTGAGGTTCACCTCGAGAGACCCCGTGTCTCCCTGAGGGCCCTAGGACCTCTGCCTCAGGACTTTTCCCAGGCGTCTTTGTCATCGCTTATCTCTGCTTACTCCAACCAGACAGTGGAGGTCCAGGCCTGAGGCTGTGCTTGTCATTTCTATGTAGTGGCTCTGGAAGAGCCTGGCCAGCCAGGCTGTGACCCTCCAGCTCCTCTCCAGGTGCCCCAGCCCCCTCCTCTGCCCACCAAGACCTTGAATTCTTCTCTCTTGGGAGTCTGGAAGACAAGAATTGGACCACAAATCTTCCAGCCTAGATCAGGGTCTGGGATCTGTGTCCAGGAATCAGGCAGCCCAGTCTTTCTGTTGGGGGTCTCTCCCAACCGTGGCACCCACCTAGCTGCTGTTTCCTGCAGTACTTGGGGCATGGTGAGGACTCACAGCTCTGAGGAGGGTGCTTGAGGCCTGGAGAAAGAGAAGAAAAAAAGGAAGGAAGGACTCAAGGAGCAACTGGGAGCCTAGATGGCACCTTTGGGTGGCTCCATTCTGCAAACAGCCACTGACAGACAAGTACATCATACTTGGGGATGAGAAGGAGGCAGGTGATGGGCAAGGGGGCTTGCAGGGCTGGAGGCTCTGGTCCTGGGGTCTCCCACTCAGGGTGCAGAGAGCAGCACCAGAAATGTTCATCCCTAAGCACTCCATGACTGGCTCTCCACTTGGGAAGGAAGGAAGGTAGGTAAGAAGGAAGGAAGGAAGGAAGGAAGGAAGGAAGGAAGGAAGGAAGGACTCAGTGGTAGAGCACTTGCCTTGCATGCATGAGGCCCTGAGTTCCATTCCCCAGCACCACATAAGCAAAAAAAGAAAAAAAGCCGGAAGTGGCGCTGTGGCTCAAGTGGTAGAGTGCTATCCTTGAGCTGAAGAGCTGAGGGACAGTGCCCAGGCCCAGAGTTCAGGCCCCATGACTGGACCCAAAAAAAAAAAAAGAAAGAAGGAAGGAAAGAGGGGAAAAAGGAAGGCAAGAAGGAAGGAAGGAAAGAAGGAAGGAAGGAAAGAAGGAAGGAAGGAAGGAAGGAAGGAAGGAAGGAAGGAAGGAAGGAAGGAAGGAAGGAAGGAAGGAAGGAAGGAAGGAGAGAACTGGTTCTAAGAGCAAAGCTTCCAACAGGCTTGGCCAGGCCTGTGATCTACGCTTCCTGTCAGCCGTGTAGCACCCTCATTTCTCATCACCCACATTTCCTCGCTTCATTGAACGAAGTGAGTTCTTGTCTGGCTGCATGGATTCTGAAAGTCTAATGCCTTTCTGGAGGACTGAAGGAAAAATGTGGAGCACCAGTGTTTCACGCCTATAATCCAAACTACTCAGGAGGCTGAGATCTGAGGATTGCAGTTAAAATCCAGCCCAGGCAGGAAAGTCCCTAAGAGACTTATCTCCATTTAAGCAGCTGAAGCTGGAAATGGAAGTGTGGCTTGTGGTAGAGTGCCAGCCTTGAGTGAGAAAGTCGAACTAGATCATGAGGCCCTGAGTTCAAGACCCTGTACCAATACATTGGAAGGAAGGAAGGAAGGGAGGGAGGGAGGGAGGGAGGGAGGGAGGGAGTAAGGGAGAGAGGAAGGAAGGATGGAAGGAAGGAAGGAAGGAAAGAAGGAAGGAAGGAAGGAAAGAAGGAAGGAAGGAAGGAAAGAAGGAAGGAAGGAAGGAAAGAAGGAAGGAAAGAAGGAAGGAAGGAAGGAAGAAAGGAAGGAAGGAAGAAAGGAAGGAAGGAGGGAGGGGAAAAAGTTAGTTTCTAAGACTTTTGCCTAAGAATCAGTGAGGCAGTCACCATTTGATGGCTGACCCTCCAGGTTCTGTCTGTTTGGGTGCAGTGGTAGTTGTGGGTGTCAGGTTGAGGGGTCCTAAGGACTGATTATAGCTTTCTGGAAAGCCTGACTCAGACATGGTGGGGTGGGGGGAGAAGGCAAGCCCTGAGCATAGAGGCAGGGACAAGGCAGGAGGCTTCCCTAGTGACAGTGACGCCAGACAACGTGTCCAAGGGCTGACACCTGCAGACTCTTTAGGGGACACCAGAGTAGACCCCTGGGAACTGGCAATGCAGGCCTTGAAAGCTGTAGCTCTGGGAGAAGTGCAGAGTGGAGGTGGGGAGGGGGGGCTTGTGTAGGGGTGTCTGCAGGTTAAGTTGGGAATGGCGCCATTCATCATTTATCGGCCCTCAATCCCAGGCCTCACCATGGTGGAGTAGAGGTTCAAGTTGACTCTCCTCATCAGCTCCCAGCTGCTCAGGGAACTCTGCAAAAGAAGGCAGGAGAGAATATGCCGTGAATGTGGCAGTATGCTGCACAGCTTGGCCAGGGGTCTGCTCAGGGCTCAGGCCGCTGCATGGGTACCAGGCAGGGAGGCAATGAAGTTAGCTCAGATACCTGAGGAGGGAAGCTGGTCGTGAGCCCCAAACACAGAAGATGCCTCTGTGCATGGGTATGTCTTTCCGCCTGTCTGTCCACTGATGTGTGTTTACACACGTGCATGTGCTATGTATATCAGCACATGTATGCAAGTATGGGCCTGCCCCTCCTCCTGCATTTTCCCCACACCAACCTTGGTAGAGCACTTGTCTGAGTCCTGCTTTATGCGCAAGGATCCCATGGGTTCTCAGTGTCTTTCCCTTCCCCTAAATGCTGTGCAAACAGTGCTCAATGTCCATTGACCTGAACAGAGTGAAACCTGCCTGCAGAATGCCTTCCCTTATTATCGCTTCTGGTCATGCTGCTTAAGGAAGCTCCTTGGAATGGACTCAGGCTGGGCATGATGGCTGACTCAGGCCTGTAACCCTAGCTACTTGGTTGGTAGAGATTCAAGGCCAGCCCAGGCAAAAAGGAGTTTGAGAGACTTGGTCTTGACCCATGGCTGAGTACCGTGGTGTTTACCTGTCATCCCCAGCAACATGAAGAAGTACAAGAAGGAGGATTGCAGCTGAGGCCACTCAAGCATGAAGCAAGACCCCCACCTTGAAAATAACCCAAGCTAGAAAGGAGCTGGAGACATGGCTCAGGTGGTATAGACCTGCCTAACAAGTAAGAAGCTCTGAGTTCAAACTTCCAAAGATAATTAAAAGGAAAAGAAAGAAAGAAGGAAGGGAGGAAATGAAGGAAGGAAGGAAATGAAGGAAGGAAGGAAGAAAAGGAAGGAAGGAAGGAAGGAAGGAAGGAAGGAAGGAGGGAGGGAGGGAGGGAGGGAGGGAGAGAGAGAGAGAGAAGAAGCCTCTTGGAGACTAGTGCAGTGGTTCATGCCTGTAATCCTAGCTACTCATGAGGCAGAGATCAAGATTATTGAGGGTTAAGGCTAGCTCAGGCAAAACGTTAGCAAATCCCCATCTTAACCAGTAAGTTGGGCATGCTTGTGGTTCCCAGTTACCCGAGAGTTATAGCTAAGGTTTCAGTCTAAGGGTGACCTCAGCCAAAAAGCAGGGGACCCTATCCAAAGAAGTATCTAAAGTAAAAGCCTCGAAGGGGAGGGCATGGCTGCAGCAGCTGCCTAGCAAGCCCAGGGCTCAGAGTTCAAACTCAGTACTGTCCAAACAAATGAACAAAAGAGGCCTTGGGCTTTGTGGGCTACTTGGGGTTTCTGGCTGGAAGAAATCATTTGGTCTTTCCCCTCCTGGCCTCTGGGCTCCTTGAGTGCTTGGACATCCAGTCCTGTAGTGCTGAGACGTGCCCAGAACGATTCAGCATTGCTCCTGGCTTTGCTTCACCTGCACGGAGAGACTTGGGCAGGTCGGGGTGTCCCGTGGCTCCCCTGGACATGGGGCTTAGGCTGGCTGTTCTGGACCCTTCCCCACCCCATCACCCAGCCACTCTTACCATCTTTATCACAGCCCGAAGTGCTGAGCAGAAGCACCTCCAGCTCCAGAGGTACCTCCAGCTCCATGCACATGGAGTGCACCAGCGATTGCCAGGTGGCCGGCCCTTGGGCGTGCAGCTTGTTGAGTTGCTGGGTGACCCTCTGCTCCACATCTAGGGCCTCATCACTGGAGTTCGGCTCCACAGAAGGGAGGAAGAACTGCATCTTAGCGCTCAGCCATTCTTGATGTTTGCTGAGCAAACTCACAAGCCAGCTCCACAGGCTCCTGCTGTCTGGCTGGTGGCTGAAGGAATCCATGAGGGGCTGGTCCTGCAGGGACAAGGTGGACGGCTGAGCTGGGGAAGATGCGTTTAGTGGGTCTTCTGCATCCCTTCCCTCACCTCTGTTCCTGTGCCCAGCTATCTAGAATGGTCTGGTTCATTCCCTGAAGATGAGGATTTGTTCTGGTTTTCACAGACCATTGAAGTTGCTCTCAGTCCACCTTTATGTCAGAGACATAAAGTACCAGAATTTCTGAACACCCCCAATCATTGAGAACAGACTTCTTTTCCATCTTGGAATCCAGGAGGACCGGATCACCTGCCTGCCAGGCATCAATGACTCATTGTAACAAGGCCACCCTTGACCTCTGGGACAATGGACTATAGGGCTACCCAAACCAGCTGGTGACTTGGGCTATTTTGGCTATGTGTACCTTCTCATACCGAATTCCCCCTATCTTACCCAAGGAAATGATTTGTAACCTGGTAGACATCAGAAGGTGGCTGAAGGTGATCTGAGTGCTGGCTCCCTGTGTCATTCCTCCATCACAGAATCTCTCTTTCTCTTCCTTATTTCTAGCCTAATAAACTTTCCTAATATTTTCACTAACAATAAAAAAATGAATAGACCTTTCTTACAGTTCCCTATCACTAGGTCATTAAGTTTTGATCGCTGGGATGTTAGTGGAAGTGCTATCTGCCCTTTGTTGCTTCTTCCTGTTGGCTGGAATGTCAATGTGATGGCTAGACCTTGGGTAGCCACATTGGATTACGAGGCAGAAGCCAGTCCTGAGGAAGGTATAGGTTAAGCTGCCTGCCTATTCTAGACTCTGACTGGATCTTTATTACCTGGTAGACAAATACACTTTTATTCTATTCAAACCACTGTGGCTTGGGGATTTCTGCTGCTTGCTGTGAACTCTAATCTCTGCGAACACAAGCCATCCCTTTTCTCTCTAATTCTCTTCTAATCTGGAACTTGCCAACAGCCAGCTGGTAGGGGTTTAAATAGAGAATAAAGGGCATTCACACAGCAAAAGCCTAACTAATGTCAGTCTCTTTGATCTACAACTCTATTTCGAGTCCTCGAATCTTAAGAAACCTCTCTGCGCGGGGCTGGAAAGTTGGCTCAGTGGTAGAATGCTTGCCTCACATGCATGAGGTCCTGGGCTCGATTCCTCAGCACCACATAAGCAGAAAAAAGCTGGAAGTGGCGCTGTGGCTCAAGTGGTAGGGCACTAGCCGTGAGCTGAAGAGCTGAGGGACAGCGCCCAGGCCCAGAGTTCAGCCCCCACAACCGACCACAAAAAAAAAAAAAGAAATCTCTCTGCGAAGACATTAAAAATTCAACTGCAGAGATGTTCACTGTGAGATTATTCATAAACCATCTAATCACCCAACAGCTGGGGGATTTGTTAACTGCTAGTGGGCCTCCTAAGGGCAGAATGTGGCATACATTTCCAGGTGCATTTTATAGTACTCTTTCCCTAGTGATAGAAGTGAACACATAGGAAGAACACACTGGGTCAGGCAAGCATGGTTCTTAGGGTGTTCTGCATTTTAACTAATCCTCAAAACTTCAGAGATTCCCATCTCTACCTCTGCCAAGAGTAAGAGGTCCACTAGGACCAAGCATTACCAAATCTCACCACATGTTCCGTGGATTTAGACCCCAGCTGTTCACTGGGCCCCTAGAAAAGACCAATTGGGCATGCGCCCCTTGCTGGTCACCCTTCCTCAATTGGACTACCAGCATAGGTCCTCATTCAGACGAAGCATGAGAATCTATGGAATAGGCTCCCATCCCTCAGACAGGACTCAGCAGTGCCACTGAACAGGTGAGCTGAGCACAGGAATGTGATCATAGCTAGGGTGTAGCTTTTTAGATGAGCTATGGTGTCAAATTCACATTGTCCATGAAGAAACCAGCCCAGCAACACAGTGGGAGGGAGGTAAGGGTGCCTGGAAAGGCATGGTGGCTCATCCTCAAATCCCCTTTGTAACCTGTCTAATATAGTACTTGATTCCATCACTGCTGTCCCATCCTAGGAAACTGTTTAAGAGTAACAGTCCCAAGCTGGGCACCGGTGGCTCACGCCTGTAATCCTAGCTACTCAGGAGGCTGAGATCTGAAGATCTCGGTTCAAAGTCAGCCCCAGGCAGGAAAGTCCATGAGACTCTTATCTCCAATAAACCACTTGAAAACCAGAAGTGGCACTGTGGTTCAGGCAGTAGAGCACTTGCCTTGAGCTGAAGTGTGCAGGGATAGCGCCCACGCCTAGAGTTCAAGCCCCATGACTGACCAAAAAAAAAGAATAACAGTCCCTGGGAGAAAAAAAAGCAGCACAATATTCATCATTATTAGACATTGACTTCCTCGGGAAATAGCCTTGAGGGCAGAGTTCAGTAGATAGATCCTTGGCTCACAAGGAAGAAGGAGGAAGAAGGGTGGAAGAAAGAAAGGAAGGAGGATAGAAGGAAGGAAGGAGAGAGGGGAGGAAGGAAGGAAGGAAGGAAAGAAGGAGGGAAGGGAGGGAGGGAGGGAGGGAAGGAAGGAGGGAGGGAGAAAGCATCTCCCAAGTGGTCTTTCCTTGCCCGCTTGTGCTGTTTATTATGGAGGGAGTGGCTGGCAGGAGACGTGGAGAGGAGATGGTGGCAAGGGCCAAATGACAGTGGAGGCAGGAGCAGTGGCTGCCTTGGTGGCAGAAGTAGCCGCAGGAAGGTGGCTAGAGCTCCCGACAGTGAACAGGGAAAAGACAGGGAATGGAGGCCCCTTGGGTGATGAACTGTGAACATATGGAGAAGTCAGAAGAATGACGTGGCTGTAAAAGCTGAAGCCATCAGGGAATTGCCAAACCTTGTGGATCAAGGGCCTCGATACTCAAGGCCTCAGAGCTCTAAGATGCTAGTTAATTTTCCAAGGGCCTGGCACCCAAGGTCCAGGAGCTGTAGGACTACCTGCTGCTGCCGATGAAGTTCCTACACTCAGTTCAGCTCAGAGCGGTGACAGTGACTGGCACCATCAACTGCTGCCGCTGGCCACTGCTAAGAGTGGAGGGTTACACTAGCAGAGAGCTGAGTGTTACACCCAGGCTTACAGCTGTGGGTGGCCCTGCTCAGAGCTATAAGCTTTCCAGCCTGATTGCCTAAGGCTGTAAGTCTCTAGTTTCTAACACCTAGAGCCACAGGCCTCTGGCTTTCAGGATTTAGAGCTATAAGCCTCAGAGTCCATATCTTTGGCACTTGAAGACCCAGGTCTGCCAGCACAGAAGAGCTTCTCTGCCTGGCTGTTATTTTCCATCCATTCCTAGCACAGAAGGGCCATAGCCAGGACTAGTAGCCATGACATACAGCTGATGAGGAGAAAGCAGCAGCAGGAGGAAGAGAAGGAGTGGATGAATGGGAAGAGGAAATGAGGGGAAGGGAAGTGTGTGTGGGGGGGAACCAACCTGGTCTCTTGGTTCATGATAGATGTTCCAGGGAGTCATGGGTGTCTGCGTCCTGTCCCCTGTCCTGAGCTTTGCAGGAAGTTCCCATAGTGCAGGCCCTAAGGAGAGAGGACACCGGGAGTTTACCACACTCATCCAAACCCCAAGAAGAACCATGCTCATACAAGTGCCTTCACCTTCGGGTGCAGATAGCATTCTTCCCCAAACACAGCCCAGCCTCCCTGCCTTCCCTTCCTGCCACACTTAGAGCACACGATGCCACGCTTGCTTCTCCAACGCAGAGCTCAGGTGTCACCTGTGACCATCAAGACAGCCCATACATCCCCCTGGAAATGGGATGAGCCTGGCCTAAGGTGAATCTTTCCTCACAGCAAGCCTAGAAGGCTAGGATTGGTGATCTTCCTTCTTACTATGCTACAAAGTACACTTTGAATAACAAAAAAGCATTTTTTTTTTGGTCAGGTGTGGGACTTGAACTCAGGGCTTGTCCCTGACCTTTTCCACTCAAGGCTAGTGTTCTGCCACTTTGAGCCACAGCACCGCTTCTAGTTTGCAAATGGTTAATTGGAGATAAATGTCTCAGTTTGGACTTTTCTGCCCCAGCTGGCTTTGAACTGTGATCCTCAGCTCTCAGCCTCCTGAGCAGCTAGGATAGTAGGCATGAGCCACCAGTGCCTGGCTTGGCAAATGTCCTTAAAGGGAAACCATGTCACCAAGAACACACTAAAAAGACACACCAGTGCCAATGACTATGTAATACATTCCTGGAAATCTATGCCTCATAAGGAAGCACAGGAAAACCAAGTTCCTGTGAAGTTCAAGAAAGAGAATAAAAAACAAAATGCAAACATAAATATATTTTATTTAAAAAAGAGAAGAAAGTACATAGAAGCAAGAAGTCTGAGAGCTTGGTTCAAGTGGTAGACCCTCTGCCTAGAAGGCATGAGGCCCTGAGTTACTCTTGAAACCCAGTACCTAGTACTCACTACTGCACCAGTGCTGCTGAAAACTAAACCAATACATCATAAGTAAATCAAGGCCAGGGGCTGGGAAGGTGGCTCAGTGGTAGAGCACTTGCCTTGCATGCTTGAGGCCCTGGGTTCGATTCCTCAGCACCACATAAGCAGAAAAAGAAAAAAGCCGGAAGTGGCGCTGTGGCTCAAGTGGTAGAGTACTAGTCTTGAGATAAAGAGCTGAGGGACAGCGCCCAGGCCCAGAGTTCAGGCCCCACAACTGGACCCCTCCCCCCCAAAAAAATCAAGGCCAAAGATCAATGCAGGCTCTGCTCCTACACCTATGAATCTGGAAGAATTCAACTAGAAAGTTCCAGAACTTTAGAGAAATGCACATTAATGGGCACATTCTAATGTGATGCTGGTAAGTACTATAATAGAAATAAGAAAAGAGCTAAGCACCAGTGGCTCATGCCTGTAATCCTAGCTACTCAGGAGGCTGAGAGCTGAGGGTCATGGTTCAAAGCTAGCCAGGGCAGGAAAATCCATGAGACTTTTTTTTTTTTTGTCTGTCATAGGGCTTGAACTCTGGGCTTGGGCACTATCTCTGCGCTCTTCAGCTCAAGGCGAGCACTCTACCGCTTAAGCCAACGTGCCACTTCTGGTTTTCTAGTGGTTTTTATTGGAGATAAGGGCCTCATGGACTTTCCTGCCCAGGCTGGCTTTGAACCTCGATCCTCAGAACCCAGCCTCCTAAGTAGCTATGATTACAGGTGTGAGCCACTGGCACCCAGTTTCCTGAGACTCTTATCTCCAATTAGCCACCAGAAAACCAGAAGTAGTGCTGAGGCTCAAGTGGTAGACAGCTAGCCTTGAGTAAAACAGCTCAGAGGCAGTGTCCAGGTCCTGAGTTCAAGCCCCAAGACAGACAGAAAGAAAGAGAGAGAGAGAGAGAGAGAAAGAGAAAGAGAAAAGAGAGAGAGAGAGAAGGGAGGGAGAGAAAGAAAGAAACAAAAGAAAGGAAAGAGGAGGTTTTGTTGAAGAGTCGTGGGTACTCACAATGTTTTGAAAACAATATGTGGAATCCTAACAGAAGTAAAGCAAGAGAGTGAGCAGGCGCAGGTAAAACCCGGCTGTGAAAGTCTGTGCTCTTTCTAGGTGCACTGGGCGAAGGTGATGAGGTCATGAGGGTGTGCCCTCAAGGTGGGATTAGAATCCCAACAGAAGAGGTGGAGGAGCTTGCTGTGTCCTCTAGTAAAGGGCACAGAGAAAGGAAGCTGTCTGCAAACAGGAACTAAACCCTCATAGACCACGTGTTGGGGGCTTCCTAGCTCCGGAACTGTGAGCAATAACTTTCTGTCACCTATCTATGCTATTCTGTAACAACAATCCAAAATGACTAAGACAAACCACCGGTGACCACAAAAAGCAAGAGGGGGAAAAAGTCTCTAAATTAGTATGTGGACTGAGGACAAGCTGCTTCTATTGTGCCAAGACCCGTTAGAGCATTTAAGGGTGTGGCTTGGGTGTGACTCAGCAGCATGAGGCCCTAAATTCAAACCCCATTAACACACACACACACACACACACACACACACACACACACAGTTTTTTTGTTTTGTTTTTGCCGGTTCTGGGACTTGTACTCTGTGTCTGGGCTTCTTCTACTCAAGGCTAGCGCTCTACCACTTGAGCCACAGCGCCACTTCCGGCTTTTTCTGTGTATGTGGTGCTGAGGAATCGAACCCGGGGCCTCCTGGATGCTAGGTGAGCCCTCTACCCCTAAGCCATGTTCCCAGCCCCTCCCCCACAATAGTTTTTAAGTTATTTTGCATATAACGACATAGCTTTTGGCAGCTATGTAGGATGGCTATATTGAAATGATGGAGAGATTCAGAGGAGAATTTGGAGAAACTAAGGCTCTCTTTCCTGGCTTGTCAGAATGTAAAGTGATACATTCACTTTGAAAAACAGTTTAGCAGTTAACCTTAATGCCACTATAAACCCACCAATTCCATTGCTAGGTCCATATCCAAGAGATATAAGAGTATCTTGAATGTCCAAGCCAGTAATACCCATAATAGACAAATAGTGAAATCAACCCAAAGGTCCAACCATTTATGAATGGACAAACAAAATATTCTACATCTACACAATGGGATCTTATTCAATAATAAAAAGAAACAAAGTTTATGTCATAGGAAAGTACAGATATTAAAGAAAAATGAAAGCAGACAGCAGGGAAAGGCATCTGCCCCACAAATGACAACAAGCTGGGGTTTTTTTTGGGGTCCGGTTGTGGGGCCTGAACTCTGGGCCTGGGCACTGTCCCTCAGCTCTTTAGCTCAAGGCTAGCGCTCTACCACTTTAAGCCATAGTGCCACTTCTGGCTTTTTTCTTTTTGCTGAGGAATCGAACCCAGGGCCTCGAGCATGCAAGGCAAGCGCTCTACCACTGAGCCACCTTCCCAGCCCCAACAAGCTGTTTTTCAACCAATCAGTATCTCACCAACCAAGAGCTGATGTGCAGCCGCCCGCCTGCCCCTCTCTCTGGTGGGTAACGTGCTTCTGGCAGGTGCTGGCAGGTCCTGCTCGTCAGCCTGTTCTTCTGGGTTGCTGGAACCTTTCCCGTCTCCATTCCTCATCTCCTACCAGTGTTTGCTTTTTATATCACCCAACAAACGATCTAGCTGTGTCAAGTCTTGGGGTTTGCTTCTGAGGGGAATCTGTACTGTGACAGAGGTAATTTGGCAGTATGTGCATCCAATTTGTACTTAGCATTTGTATTTGTAGGACTGTAACTATGAGATATCCTTGTAAATGTGGCAAAAAGAGAAAAGAAATGATATAAGTGAATTACATTTATTGAGAGACGTATAGATTTTTTTATAAATCCATAGGACTTATAAGAATCTTATAGACTCTTGGAACATAGCTGATGGTCTCTAAGTGGCAGGTGCCACAGGGGCACACTAGGCATGAGCACTGTAGAAAGTGTCTGCCTGTGACATGACACTGATTCTTTGCAACAGAGCTTCATGGTGAAAACTTACAATGTGTCCATTTCACAGGAGAGAAAACTGAGTATAAGTCACTTGCCCATTCTAGGTGGTCAGATTCCCCAGGGGCAAAGGCAAGAATATCCATTGTCCTCTTGCTGCCAAAGCAGCATTTGGGAGGGGGGGGAAGGGCAGATTTCATGGGAAATAAATAATGATGAACTCATCTGGAGCAACCCTCTCCAAGACAGCTTAGTATGTTCCAGAATGGAAAGAACTCCAAAACATACCAGTAAATAAATTCAAATTTTAACAAGGCATTTTATTAAGACATCTAGATTTTTCATGTTTTTGCCCTGGACTAACCTGGAGCACAATCCTCCATGCCTGGCCTATAGGTTGAGATGAGTTCTCACAAACTTTTTATCTAGGCTGGCCTCCATCCACCATCCTTCCAATCTACCTCCTGAGTATCCAGGCACATTACATTTTTTAATGCTATCATTTATTTATTTATTTATGTGATACTGGAATTTTAACTCAGGGCCTCACACTTTTTTTTCCTTTCTTTTTTTTTTGGGGGAGGTCAGGTCTTGGGGCCTGAACTCTGGGAATGGGCGCTGTCCCTCAGCTCTTCAGCTCAAGGCTAGCGCTCTACCACTTGAGCCACAGCGCCACTTCCGGCTTTTTTCTTTTTGTTTATGAGGAATTGAACCCAGGGCCTCAGGCATGCAAGGCAAACACTCTACCACTGAGCCACCTTCCCAGCCCTACATTTTTAATATATACATTTTGATGTTTAAAAACCAGATGAACATTGATACTAAAAACTAGAATAGCCATTTCCTCAATGTATAGAGAAGAGAAACAGAGAACAAGGAGTAGGCACAGACGATGGAAATCCCCTGCACAGCACGGCGCACTAAAGCAGAAGTAGGAAGGAGGTAGATGAGGTTTAATGGTTGCACTATGGCTGATATTTGGATTGAAAAGTAATTGAAACCTATGGAGGAAACCACTTTAACTAGTGTGTGTGTGTGTGTGTGTGTGTGTGTTTTCCAGGCCAGGCCTATTTTCACTGGGACAGCGAGTGACAAAAGTTGAAAAGACCTGATGAACATTTGCTTGATGCAAGCAACTGCCTTCAGCATTAGCTGCTTAAATTCTCACAACTCTGTCTGGCAGCCTCATGTGAGTTTCTAAATCTGAACAGGTGCCTCCTCCCCGTACCCATTTCTCTTTGACCACTTGCAGGGGGAATTTTACACCACATCTAGGTGCTGTCTAATCAAAATAGATTTTAAAGTGGATCTCAGCCATTGTAATTTTAAAAACCTACGCTCACTCGTCTGCCTGAGGGTATTCAGCTAAGAGTGAAGGAACTGTCCCACACTCAGCCGCTGAGCGCACACCAGCATCCCAGCACGGTTCATTTGCATATGGATTTTCATATGCCTTGCATGTTTTTTTCCCCCCAGATACATAAAGTTTTATTACGTTTTTTAGTAGAAAGTTAGACAGCAGAGCCAACTAGCAAAGAACAAAGAGACAATTTGCATTTAGTGCAGGGTCCTTTGGCTGGAGTTACCTCCAGGAATCCCAAACATGTCCCCTGGGAGGCTAGTTAGAAATCAGACTCCAAGAAAGGGGGGGATGTACAGGGTCTCACAGGCATGGGGCAACAGGGTGTGTGGATTTGCCATTCTCGGTCCAGACAGCAGGAGGGACAGGGGTAGGGGGCACATGGGGGGGCAAGTGGGGTCCTGGGCTGAGGGGTCTGTAAGGGAGATCACTCCCCCTTAGCTTCTCCTTTCTTACCCACAGCCCCTCCCATTGTCATTGTGCTCTGGGGGATCTTCCCTGCTACCTGGGGGATGCTACTGGAGGAAGGAGTACAGAAATCAAATTCGGTTTCTCTCTGCAGCCCCCGGGCCTTTGAATATGCTGTTCCCTCCACCTAGATAGTCTTTCTACCTCCAGTGCACCTGGGCCCATGCCTGCCCATGTGCTCACACTCCTTGGCCTCACCCCTATCTCTCAAGCTCAGCTCCGGACTGTCTTCATTTCTGCCTGAAGTGCTGAGCCTCAACCACCACCACCAGAATAAAGTCAGAAGGCCAGCATGGGCCAGCCCGGCCTCCCTGTCCCTTTCTCTCAAACCTCTCCCCCTTCCAGCTCAGCTCTGGCCACCTTCTCAGGGAGGACGATCCCACCCCCACCCCAGCCCTTCACTCCTTAGCCCTCCCTCCTTCCTCTTCTGTGGCAGGTCTTGCCCCCTGAGGGATCATCTCCTCTTGGCCAATCAGCTTCCCCAGTAGCCTGTGGCCCTCCATGCTGGTGCCAGGCTAGATGTTGGGTAAGAGCAACTACCAGATGTCTGTAAGTTACCAGCCACATGACTGATGATAATTTCCTCAGTGTCCTCTTCTGTAAGGTGGGATGTTCTAGCCCCAAAGCAGAACCAAAGATAAGGTTTTCTTATGGAAGTTTTTTTGTTGTGGGTTTTGTGGGTTTTTTTGTATTGAGGTTTGAAACCAGAGCTCCATATGTGCAAGGCAGTTGCTCTATTGGCTTAAGCTAGATAACCTCCAGCCCATTTTGCTCTAGTTATTTTTAAGATCGGGTCCTACTTTTGGCTGAGATTGGGATGGACTACGATACTCCTATGTATGCTTCCTGCTGTAGTTGGGATATCAGGCATATACCACAGCCCCTAACTATTGGTTGAGATGGGATCTTGAAAAATTCTCTGCCTGAGCTGGCTTTAAATTGCACTCCTCAGATCTCATCTTTCTGAATAGCTAGGATTACAGGCATGAGCCACCATGTCCAGCCCTTATCAAACTTCTTTATGAAGGGGTCAGGGAAACAGGACAGTGTAGTGGGAAAAAAGCTAAGCAAAGAAGAGTGGTTTCAGGAGAAGCTTGGCTTCTGCTTGACCTCACCCTGGGATCTGAAGTGGGCACAGTTCCACAGACTGGTCCTCGGGGGGGGGGCTGGGCTGTCATACCCACACTCTGTCACTAGCTCTGTGCCACAGCTTGGGGCCAGGAGGCAGATATGAGTGCAGACACCGCTGGGTGATGGTTAGGAGATGAGTGCAGATTCTGCAATGAAAAGAGCCAGGGCCAAAGCTGTCTGCTTTGAGGTCACAAAAACAGCTAGCTGGCCAGGATGCAAGGCATATAGCATCCTGGCTGGGGTATCTGGCTCAGAGGTTAATTCTCCTGCTAGAGATTAGTGCTGGGGTTTCCTCTGTCTCCATTGCACTGTCCTGAGCAAAGACAGGAGGGAGGGAGAGGGGATGGGAATGGTTCACAGGCCTCTGTTTCCATGGCCATTTTCCCCTCTTGGGTCCCAGGCTTGGATTCAGGCCCGTGAGTACAGGTAAGAAGGAACAAAGCCCAATGTCCCCATCTAAACATGGGATCTCTTCCATCAATCTTGGATCTGTTTGCACTGGGACAATGATGATGTGGGGAGCTTTGAGATCAAACCATGAGCTCAAGCTGTACGTGGTGATACATGTATAATCCCATCTCCTTGCAGGCTTAAACAGGAGGATCCTGAGTTGGAAGCCAGAATGGGCTAGATAGCAATATACCATCTCATAACACATAAAACCCAACCAACCCAAAATCCATTATCTCCCCTGCCATCACCATGAGATAAACCACATGGCCGCAGTATGTTACAGATGAGGAAACCGAGGTGCCCGCAGGAGAAAGGAAGTGCTCAGGTCACCAGTGGGAGGATGCTGCAATTCCTTACTATGAACCCCACTCACCTGGCTTCTTATCAAGTGAAACCCAGGACCTGGGTTCCTACCATCGGCCTACTTCCCCACTGCCATCTTCTTGAGGCTCAGTCTTCCCATCCATCAGACTTCCTCTGAGACAGGATGCCAGCCTCATTCTGGCTGCCACCTGGCAGGTGTCAAGGAAGCCTTTCCTCTCCTGCTCCACCTTGACCTCTTGTCCCAGCATGCACAGGGAATGGCTACTACCCAGCAAGTCCTTAAGGACAAGTTTTCAGCCCCCACAATCTCCCCAAACTCCAGAAACTTCTTTCTAGATTGTTCAAACCAGAGGTTCCCAAGCATGTCTTCTCCTTTGAATTACCTTCGTAGGGATGGGGAGAGCGTGCTTTAGAAATTCCAACGGGTCACACCTCAAGCCCCAGCCCAAGTTCTGGGTGAGTCTCAAGCACTGGCTCTTCTGCAAGCTGCCCAGGTGACGGTGAGGCCACGGGTCACACCAGCCGTCCCCTCCTTCTCAGCATTTGGCACCCTGCTTCCAGCACACCAGGGCCTGCTGAGCCAGCCTGCCCAAGAGTCCCCCCTCCCCAATCCTGGGGACCAAGGCAGACCAAGGGGGTGTCTGTAGTGCAGTCACTTGCTTCTACCTCTCAGCCGTCCCTTGGTGCGGTGGGTCCCTGCAGGGCGTGGTGGCTCGGGTGGTGTCCCTCCTGCAGGCATGCTGGGTAATGCCATACCAAAATCGAAAACAAAACTGGAGGCCGGGAAATCCCCTTGGCCTACTGCAGGGGGCTGGTATGACCGGGAGGAACTTATGTGGATTTGGAAGGCGAAGAAGGAAACAAAGACGGTGCCAGATGTGAAAGAGAAAAGGCCCGGATGCCAAGGTCCATGGCAGGACACATTGTCCATGGACTTCCAAGTCCTTGTGTATGTCTACCCTTTGATCCCAGGACCAAACATCTCTGCCCAAAGCCACGTGGAAACTCTGACCACTGAGAACTGAACGTCTGTGTTGCACCCACATCCCTATGTTGAAATCCCAATGTGATGGTTTGGGGGAGATCTACAAGAGGTGGTTAGTCCTAAGGTGATCCATCCTTGTGAATGGAGCTGACGCCTTATGAAAGCCCCCCAGAGTTCTTTCTAGTCCTCATGAAAGGAAGTATTACAGAATCAGTCATCTGTACCCCCAGAAGGGGGCCTCACAAGAACTCCAACATGCTGACACCCCAACTTACAACCTCAGCCTCCAGAACAATAAGAAATATGTTCTCAGTGGCTCACAAGCTAAGGCGATATCCTACTATGTCCCAATAGCTGGAAGGGGCATGGATATATAAGTCGGCTGAGGAAACTCCTACAGCTGAATTTGAACAATCAAAAGACCACGCTAAGGGGCTGGGAATGCGGCTCAGTGGTAGAGTATTTGCCTAGAATACATAAAGCCCTGGGTTCGATTTTTTAGTACCATATAAACAGAAAAAGCTAGAAATGGCGCTGTGGCTCAAGTGGTAGAACACTAAGCTTGAACAAAAAAAGCTCAGTGACAGTGCCCAGACCCTGAGTTCAAGACCCATGATAGGCAAAAGAAGAAGAAGAAGAAGATGAAGAAGAAGAAGGAGGAGGAGGAGGAAGAGGAGGAGGAGGAGGAGAAGGGAGAAGAAAGAAGAAGAAGAAGAAGAAGAAGAAGAAGAAGAAGAAGAAGAAGAAGAAGAAGAAGAAGAAGAAGAAGAAGAAGAAGAAGAAGAA